GCCTCGACTTAGCAATAGTAATTTTTTAATAATTGAGCCGTTTATTTTGAAAGTGGCATAAGTCACTTTGTTTTTAAGGCGATATATTAAATATACAACCCTTAAATTTTAAGGGTTTGCGTTTTAACACGTTTAAAGATATGGATGCTAACTTTCGAGAAGATTTACTTGTATTTGTTATCTCAGGATACTGACATTTTTCTCAGTATAAATAATTTCGTATAAACATTAAAAAATCACCGCTTTTCATTACGGTGAAGTGACTTATGCCACTTTCAAAATAAACGGCTCGATTAATTCTGATAATTTTTAGTTATTATATTATAATATATAATATAATAATTAATATATATATAATAATATATAATAATATATATAATATTAATATAATAATTAATATATATAATAATATATATAATAATATATATAATATTAATATAATAATTAATAATATATTATAATATTATATTATAATATATATTATATATATTATAATATTATTATAATATTATTATAATATTATATTATAATATTGGCACCGATTTTGTTTCGTTAACGTTAGAGTTTTATCGAACGATGCCTAATCTTCGATTCTTCGCAGATGGCGGGCAAGGCTGTCGAGGACCCGAAGAAGGAGGCCGCGGACCAAAACTTCGACTACATGTTCAAGTTGCTGATCATCGGCAACTCGTCCGTCGGCAAAACCTCGTTTCTCTTCCGTTACGCAGACGACTCGTTCACTTCGGCCTTCGTATCGACCGTGGGGATCGATTTTAAAGTGAAAACGGTCTTCAGGAACGACAAGAGGGTGAAACTACAGATCTGGGTCAGTGGAACTCCATCGCAACCTGAAATCGATACAGACAATCTTCATGGTTTCTTGATTGCCGGCGTTGCTCGGCCTAAATTTAAACTTGCCGCGCGACGCTCGCCATTTCGGATCATCGTTCCCATAGAAATTCGATTCGAAATTGTCCGGAACAGATCGTGTGATTCGTGGGAAAATCGTCTCATTCGTCGATCAATTGAGAGAAACAGGAGTTAAAAATTCGGCTGCTTATTTCGACGAACGTTTCGCTCAATTAGAACGTTGATCGAGCATCTTGCGGTTCAAATACACTCTCTCATTTCCTATGGAAATTAAATTGCTCGTCTGTATGGCCACACGCATAACCGATTTCATAGTTTAATTATAAAAGTTAATTGGAAACTGCAAAGTGGACTCTTCCTCGGTCGCCATATTGATTAGAGCGAAAAGTGATTGAACTTGTCCATTAGCAGATTACGTTTTGCCGGATTGTTTATCCGGTCGAAGGTACGATTTTTTTTTTTTAATCAGATAAGTAAATACGCGAAAACGTGGATACCAATTCGCAAATTTTACAAATTGTGATCAAAATGATGCTTCGTTGAGTAGATTTGTAATAATTTTGTTTTAATTGGTTCACGGGAATGATCGAAGCAATTGTTATAAAAACGACGAGGAGCATTTTTAAGAACTGCAAGGTGGATTGGTTTTTAAAGGCGAAATGCTAAATATAGTTGCCGAACGTTTAACCACATGTGGCTTCATTTATCATTCGCAGGAAATAATAAGGAAATCCACAGCTATACATTATCATTGTACTATTACTTCCCACTCGTGACAGTCCATTGTTTTCCTCTGACGTGAAATATGTTGAGAATTTCACGGTATATCGGCCATTGAACACGCTTCTCTCGGAAACAATTTCCCTGTTTCGCAATTGAAAAAAAATGTCTTCGCGATTCTAAACAGAGAAAAATGAAATTGGACGAATTTTTTTTTAAAGCGAACGCAATTTAGTAAGTTTTCGACTCTGTGTGATCGAATTGTACAGAAATGATGATACTTTCATACAGAGTGTTCCAAAATTATGGTACTTCCGGGAAACGAGGGGTTATATATATTAATTAATTATATATTAATAACCTAGACTATAATACATGTTTCATAATTATGTTAAAACCGGGAAGAGGTGATTCCTGAGGTCATTCGAAGTAACTTTTTCCTCAGCGAAAATGCAATCCGCGGCTTTGTTTATGAGTTATTAACGAAAAACAGTGACCAATCGGAGCGCGAGTGCGACTGGCGCTGCGCCCTTGCAGCCAATGTCGCGTCGCGCGCCGGCCATCCGACGTACCAGCAGTGGTCGCGAGGGCGGGTCTTCAGCCGTACGCGATCTCTCATTGGTCAGTGTTTTTCGTTAATAACTCGTGAACGAAGCCGTGGATTGCATTTTCGCTAAGGAAGAAGTTACTTCAAATGACCTCAGGAACCCTTCATTTCTCGGAGTTACCATAATTTTTGGACACCCTTATGCTGAATTTTAATACAAGTGCTAATGCGAATGGTGATGATTGCAGGACACGGCGGGCCAGGAGAGATACAGAACGATAACAACGGCCTACTACAGGGGCGCCATGGGTTTCATTTTAATGTACGACATCACGAACGAGGAGTCGTTCAATTCCGTGCAAGATTGGGTCACGCAGATCAAAACTTACTCGTCCGACAATGCCCAAGTGATCTTGGTCGGCAACAAGTGCGACATGGCCGACGAAAGAGTAATCAGCGAGGACAGGGGCATGCAATTGGCAGAACAATTGGGGGTGCAATTCTTCGAGACGTCCGCCAAAGAGAACATTAACATTAAGGTAAATCTATGCTGGAATCCCGAGAACCGAAACCGGAACAGCTTCGTTCTGGGTCGACTAGCTGCACAGTTCGGTGCCGAGACAAACGGAAACGATCGTTCTCTTTCAGCGGGAACGTCGGGAAACTAGGCTATGTACAGGATGTTCCATAATTACGTAAACGGGTATAATTATTATGGAAAGGGATGTAATTATTATGGAAAGGAATAATTTCTCAGGTCATTTGGAGTAACTTTTTCCTTAGCGAAAATGCAATCCGCCGCTTCGTTTACGAGTTATTAACGAAAAACAGTGACCAATCGGAGCGCGAGTGCCGCTGGCGCTGCGCCCTTGCGGCCAATGTCGCGTCGCGCGCCGACCATCCGACGTACCAGCAGTGGTCGCGAGGGCGGGGCGTTAGCTGTACGCGATCTCTCATTGGTCACTGTTTTTCGTAAATAACTCGTAAACGAAGCCGCGAATTGCATTTTCGCTAAGGAAAAAGTTACTTCGAATCACCTCAGGAACCCCTCATTTCCCGCTTGTACAATAATTTTGTGACACCCTGTATAGGACTATGACAAGAATGGGAGCTATGTCAGCTTCTTTTTTCTTCCTCGTTCGTTTACCGAATCCATTATCGCGTGTCGCCGCCATTAGCGACCGAGAAAGGTTGCCGTGTCACGTTTCAACGCTTATTCCCATCCGCAAGTTGTATGTGTGTATGTATGTGTACTGTACCATTACCTTCGATCGGTTTGTCCTCGATTGCCGCTCATCTGCACCCATTAATCACGCCTGAACAACCGGTCGAACCTATTGGCATTGACACATCAACGTCCAACGCCGATCGATTTCCCTGCTCTCGCAGCCCCGCGATGTCTGCCTTGAGTCTGTGCAGTCAGAGTCAGTGATTTTTAGTGCGAACACGTTATTGCCGCAGTTTAGGGCTATCCATTGGTATCCGCGCAAGACGGATCGTCGTTTGAAGATTAGCTTGCGCTTCAGGGATTTTAGCGACCCGTGTTCGTGGCCAGCCTGCGAAAGCTGGTGTCTCTTGAGACAGTCGGGGATGTTGGGACACTTGTGGTCAGCCTGCTGGAGCTGGGGTTGGAACAGATATCATAATTTCTAATTTTAGCACCGGTCGAGCCTTGGGACACCTGTTGGGTTCAATTCGTTCAGGTCAAGATTGACATAGGTTCAATTCAAATTGGGTATGCGCACTCAGTGACACGTTTATTGGAAACCTATCACAGTTTATTTCGGTTGGTACTAAGTTTGATTTGGGAGCTTTAGGGATACAGTGAATTCTCCCTAATTGACGCTCAGCTTGGAAACAAAAATGCAGCTAGGAATTATCAACGATTATAAAAACGAGGCTGGAATAATCGTCTACTCTTGTTTCCAAGCCAAGGGACAATTTAGGAGAATTTATTGTAGCAGTCGATTAGGGAGAATTTACTGTAATTACTAGAAATTCGAGGTTGTCTAGTTACTAAATTTTGGTAAGTTCAGTTCAATTACTAGAATCTAGTAACTAAATAACCTCGAATTTCTAGTGGACGATTTTGGGAAGGGGAGGGATTCGATTAAACGAGCCTTGCGCCTCGTTTTTATAGTTGTTAACAATCGGCGACTATAAAAACGAGCTACGAAGTTTATTGAACAATAGTATCTTCCTAAATTGTCCGTTTTTATTTCCAAGCTGAGCGTCAATTAGGTAAAATTTTTCTGTACTACTTTCGTCAGATAACTCCATAAATAATAACGTTACACAAAGTGATTAATAAACAGCGGATTTTGTGCATTCATTGCAAAAATTGATAATAAATACAGAATAGTGAAAATATTGAAGGAACATTTTTAAGAACACTGTTACATTATTTGCGATCATTTGAAGCTATTAAAAGATAAACTGCATTTGTATTTAGCACTAGTTTCTTGCAATTGCTGATGCAAAACATTTTTGTTTTGCATAAAAACATCGTCAGCCGAAACAACGTCAGCGCCCTCTGTCCTGAATCGCAATCGCCACTTAACATCCCAAATTCCAGTTCCCCTGAGAGAACGTAGAAATCATCGGACTCGTACGAAATATCAACGGAAGCTTGTTTTTAGACGGTGTTCGAGCAACTGGTGGACATCATATGCGACAAGATGAGCGAGTCCCTGGACAATGATCCGAACCTAATCGCGGGTGGCGTGGGCCAGGCGAAGGGCCAACGACTGACCGACCAGCCGACCAATCCAGCGAGCACCAACTGTAATTGCTAAGAACGCAGGAGGCCACCTAAACTCTCTATAAGAAGAATGATAAACAAGAGACGGGATAACAGAGGAAGAAACCTTAGACGCGAGGGACGCGTGTATGCCTGTACATGTGTGCGTGAACGCGTGGTCTACCTGGTTGTGTGTGTACGCAGCGTGTGTACCAGTGTGCGTGGGAAAGAGAAAGGGAAACGGGAGAGAGAGGGAAAGAGAGAGAAAGAGGAAGGTCGAGTGATAAACGCTGGCTCTAGTTCAAACCCTGTTTGTCGTTCCTTTACCCCTTGTTTCCGACCGTTCTTCGTTCTGCTCTTTTTCTTTCCTCCTTTCTCGATCAATATATTTATATATATGTGCACATAAATACGTATATATGTACAGGGTGAACCGTGAAGTACGATTAGACCGCTTGTCTTCCTCCTCAGTCGAAAGCCCTATCGGCGTCGCCCGGTAGGGTTATCGATCAGAGTCGACCCCCTAAAAGTATAAAAAAAAAAAGAGAGAGAGTTTGCCAGGCGAGCTCGACGATACACGATCAAACAGACCGTGGTGGTTGAACCGTGTAAAAAAAGAAAAACAAAAGCGAACCGGAATTGGCAGAGAAAAAGACCACCACCGTTCACGTTTCTGGCGTAGGCGAAGCTGACGCTTTGGCCCAAAGGTGTTCAAGGGAACGGGAGATGAAACTCAGTTCCAAGATATGGTGTCCAAGCCCAGCCAAGACTATCCACCGGTCAGGACGCTATAGTGCACAACGTATATATATGTATACATAATATATATTACACACCGTCGTTTTTTCATTATTTAGCGAACGTAATTTTCTTAGAGGGTGTTGTTGCTCATTGTTGCTGTATGTGTTTGGCGGGGTGTCACGCGAAGTCCACATGAATATTCATTAAGCAGGCAAACGTTGCGATTAAACGAGCTCGGGACCGGCTCGTGCCGGTTCATCGAAGTCAATGCGAGAGGCCACCGGGATTGATTCGCTGAGGGTGAACACGACGAGGCTGATTGAGATTAGGCGATTCACCCTGTATACATGTATAAATATGTATGACGGTTGTAGCCTGATTACGCGAAGGTGCCATCGAGCCGATACCTTTCGGGTTATATGGGGAAGCGTAACCGGAAATATCGACGGGAGGTAGAGTCGAGCGGAAAATAAGTAGTCTCGCGACGAATTTAAACCGATATCATGGCAGGAAGTTACGTAAAATCAATAATCTCTGTAAGAAAAACCGTTGCTAGGGAGTTTGAATTTGGCGCCGCGCGTGTTGCCCTTCGCCACCGACCGTCGGTTAAGTAGGGATCCCGGTGACCGAGGCTGAAGAAATTCTCGGCGATAATCTCACGGTCGATGGAGAACGAGAACAACGCTTTCTCGCCGCTCATAGAAGCGGAAAACGGGGTTCTCTCGGTGGCGACAGGGTCGAAGGACAGCAACAATGTTCCTCACGAGGATTGTTTCAGCGATCCGGCGCGTTCACTCGAGGCAAGACGCCCCCCCCCCCCCCCCCCCCCA